CCGTCAACACACCATGTCTTGAATGGGACTATCACATTTATTCAGTATTTACTCGTAACTAATATATTTAATGTTCTGACTCATCCTGAGACAAAGTGCTAAATGAATTTAAAAAAAATGTTAAATGCATGAATGAGACCAGCAGTGAGTAATCACAGTCAGTGATGGAAAGTGTGGAAGACGAACAGGAGCAGAGTGCCTGTGTTGGGTTAGGAGCTGCATGAGTGGGCAGGAGGCCACGGACTAACAGATCAAACCCTCTGGAGAGGAGCTACACATCCCTTAACAAGAAGCTTAAAATTTTACGAACCACAGTAAATATCCCGACAGACAACACTGTCTGATGAGAGTATCTGCAGGGTATATAATTCTAAAAAATGAACGATAGGTGGATTGTATAAACATTGCTCCTGATTATGGATCTTCCGAAATCTGAAAAACAGAGGAGTGTTTGCTTCTTTGGCTGGTCCCTCTAAATGCCAGGCTCATCAACCCACCCTCCCGTCTCTCTCCTTCAGACTGCTACCCTCCTCCACATCCCTCCTCCACATCACCTCCACCACCTCCCTCCTCCCCTGCCGTATGTCTGTGAAATCAATGCAGGCGCTTTGATGGAGACACAGCACTGAGAAGGGTGGGGGGGGGGTAGAGAAGGGGGTGTTGCGGGTGGCCAGCTCAGCAGTTCTGGCTCTGCCCATGAAGGATAATCGGCAGACTTTCGGCTGAATCCCCCAAGTGCGTCGTAAACACCACCAGCCCCTAACACACATACACACACACATACCCCTTCTCAAACGTTTGAGCTTTTTCAAGCACATCAGTGATTCAACTGAGGCAGGCCACTCTGACAACCTGCTTTTCCCACCAGATGTCAGAAGCATCAGCTGGTTTTGAGCCTGTTATAATGAAAGAAAAAACAGTAAACTAAAAAAGAAAAGAACTGCACGTTCCACACCAGCATCTAGGTACAATTATCATGCATTAGAGCAAGATGAACTAGCATCTGGTTAGCAAAACCTGCAGGCTCAGGGGAGCCCCCTATGAATGGACTCAAGGGGCCAGGCACAGGTGAATGAATAAACATGAGGAGAGGAGGCCTGAAGCCACTTCCTAACCCTAAACCTAACCCAATACCTAAACCTAACCCCTAAGCCTAACCCAATACCTAAACCTAACCCACATGCACAGCACCCCTACATAAAACTGGAGAGTGCATATGGGAATGCATATTGTGCACCATCCCTGTGAGGTCTCTCCAATCTCCAGTAATCAGCACTGCACTGAGGACACAAGTGGGTGTGTGTGTGTGTGCGTGTGTGTGTTTGTGCACCCACGCATGTGTGTACCAACCCGTAGAATGCAGGTGCATGGACCCTTTTCTGACCATTTTTCTCCCTCGTCTTCTCCTGCAGGAACCTTCAAGGGTTTCTGTAAACAGATAGACCACTTTCCTGAAGACACAGACTATGAAGCAGACGCATCAGAGTACTTCCTTCGTGAGTCTCACCACTGCTATCTCTTTACTTTTATTTTTAGTTATATCCATTTCTATTCTGCATCCATGGCAACGTGTGTCAAGTATGTTAAGACCACAGACACTGCAGTTAAGGCTTGATCGGGATTATCAGTCATCAGTTATAAGTACCCAGAGATTATCACCCTGACAGTGCTTATTTCAGATTACTACAGTGCTTAGATATTTTCTGGTATTATATATTGCCTTCAGTTTCACAGAAGTATTTCTGTACTTTCAAGCTCATCCTTCTGCTTTCCTTGATTTTACTGCCTGGTATAAGGGACAGTATTATCTTGCAGTGTTTACCTTGTAAACACAGCACATTGATTTTCTGCTGCTCGCCCTCTCTGTCACTCGTAAGCGGCCCTATAAACACATATCAGCTGGGTGCACAGTCACCGACTCGCAGTCACAGTCACGGTGATAAGAGTCGAATAGCCAGAGAAACTTTAAAAGGGATTTTTTTTAGTGGCTGAAAGCACGTCGCACATATAGGAATTTAAATCCCTTTAGTGCAGATTATCACTTAAAATGCAAACAATTTGCCTGAAGTAGAGCGCAGTCAATGCACAAAGAAAGATTCAGAGGGCTGGCATGCACAGAGGGCGCATGTGTCCCCGTGAAAAATGCACCCATGCAAAGTGAAGCATGGTCACAAGACGTGGAAGCTAGCAGGCCCACACATACGTGTCACACGCTTACTGAGCATGAGCACACCCAGACGGGACTATGGATCCCAGTGACTCGTCAATGAGGGCATTCACTTCCATAAATATTTCAGGCTGCCCTATATAGGTGAAGCTTCATACACACATCGGAGCTGTTTTCTGGGTTAAAGTCGATGGTTCTGAGCAGATAGGGTTTGGAGGCAGGACCGTAGGCTTCAGCAAGCTAGGGCGAGAGGGCGTATGGTCTCACAGAGCTGCAGGAAGCTGCTCTCCTTTCAGCAAAACCCCTGCCCCCCCCCCGACTCCCTGAACAGGAAGTGCGCCTGTTCGCCTGCTTCTAGCACCCTCTGCAAACGCCACTCCGTCTGTTTGTTTGTCCGCAGTCTGGTTAGCCGTCGTTCCCACTCCACGCGTTGTTCCTGCACCATCTGAGATGATCACAGGTTCCCGTGATTGACGTCTGTTTTTCGCCATGAGCACAGCGAGGTGGCAGACCGCACGCTGCAGTTGGACGCGTTTCTCCCGAAACAGCAGCTGTGTACTGCAGGATTCGGGGGGGGGCTGCTGTATTAGAGACACAGTACAGAGCGGCGGTCCCCAAGCATAGGCTGAAAGGGCACAGGGAACCGTGACCCAGGGCTGTGCCGGCGTCCAGGCGTCATCCTGCAAGCACAGATCTGGCGCCTGATAGGACCAGGTTCTCACCTCGGCTGAGGGTGACAACATGAGGTCGACTACTGTTTACATTTGTTTGTTTTGGGCATTAAGTAAACATTAGGACAAATTGATATGTAATATCATGAATCATATGTTCTCACACCTACCTGCTAAGTAGATTCAGCTTATCCCACAAATCACACTCCTACGTATGTAAACAAGAGGCCTATAGCAGCCCAGATAATTAGACTGAATTAATGACCAGCCACTTAATGGGACCCCGTTCATAGAAGAGACTCTTCTCAGTAGACGGCAAACTTGGGAGTCCATAGGTCACCCCATCGAGGCCAAGGAGAGAGATCCTGCTACAGTTACTTTGAGTTCCTGCAGTAATAAAAATTAGTGAAAATCCCTTACCGTAATTAGACCCAGCAGCTAATCAACCCTGCCACCTCGCTGGTGAGGCTGGTGTATCAGAGAGCCCTGTGCCATCAGGAAATGGCCGTGGGGCACTGTGGTGAGGCAGCAGGACGGGAAGGAGTAACGGTCAGGTACACAAGTCGCGGCGAAGATTCGCCCTGGATTCACCCTGATTGGGGTTAGGAGGAAAAGAAGGAGGGAGAACATGTCCAAGTGCCAAGATTTTACTGGTTAGTGTGGAGACACGCCCCTCTATGGCAGCCAACAGGATTGATCTGAAAGGGGAGGCGGGAATAACATAGAATTCCAGGCCCATCTCCCCACCCTCTGAAAGAGACACAGCCTGAGGAAGGACAAATCAGCGTCCAAGGAGCCGCCCCTGCCCCCTGGTAGTAATAGAGAGGCGTTTTCTTATTCCGGTGTCAGCGAGGCCATGGGTCAGAAAGATCACGCGGCCCGGTGGCCCGTCCGCACTCCGCAGAGTCTGGGCGGGAGGCAGTTAGCTCCGGCCTTGCTGACGGACAGAGCCGAGCCAGGGAACGGCGTTCATTAAAGCAAATGAGTCAGTCGAATGCACCAGTTCACTGAAAGTGCCAATTATTCTAGCCCTGACCGCACATCCAATTAACACTAGAAATACTGGAAGGAAACAGCAAATAAATTAAATAAATGGTGAAAGGACACTTTCCATAAATATGCACCCACGCAGCCTGAATCCACAGCCAAAGCTGATTGGTCATCTCTCTGCGTTAACGCCGTGACACTGAGCAGAGAACGTTCCCCAGATATTCCTGTCGTCCCAAAACCGTTTACTCAAGTCAAAGTGATGTATGTATCTGTTTGTTCAGCGGGATGGTGTTATTGACTCAGGGAACACACAGAGAGCCTCTCATACATCAGACACATTTGGTCTGCGTGTTTTAAAGAGAAACTAGCATCAGGACAACAGACATGAAGTGCCCCCCCCCCTCCCCCATTGACTTTAATGTCACCCACTAAGGAGGAGGAGGCTTCCCCTCGTTGCCAAGCTGGCAGAGCATCCTGCCGGGGGCTGAGCTATGATTACGTCATAGCCCTGGGTAGCACAGGCCAACGTGGCCCAGTTTCAGCATGGTCCAGTGGGAGGTGAAGTTACATAGTGGAGATGAGAGGAATTAGGCTTCAAAATCCATGGTGGGTGGGATTACAGTCAGCTGTCAGTCATGTCCTCTTAAAGCCAATCAGAAAGAGTCAGGGAGCCAATGACAGCGCATGGGAAACGCCAGAGAGCGTTTTGAAGCCTCGTCTCTTGTCAGCATATCATCAAAAGTTATCGGAGGTGTTCTATTTCTTGTGTCTGCCAATAGATCTTTTGTGTGTGTGTGTGTGTGTGTGTGTGTGTGTGTGTGTGAGTGAAGGGGGAGCTGGAAGCCCTAAGAGGAAGCGAGGGGGGCGGGCAGGATTAATAAGCGTTTACAGTGTTAATCAATCTGCCTCTGCAAGCTGAAAAGCCTTATTAGCATGACCCTGATGCTGCAGCTCAGCAAATTCAAGGTTGCAAGCATCTGATTAAGAGTGAAAACTAATTTTCATTCACATTTGGCTTGTGTGATAGAGTGCGTGTTCGCGTGAGTGAAATTGGGTTGTGCGTTAAAGAGGGCTATACAGGGGATGGACAATCAAACTAACACCTGGTTTTAGATCACAATAATTTATTAGTATATTGTAGGGGTTCCCTTTGTGGCCAATACAGTATCAATTCATCTTGGGAATGACAGATCCAAGTCCCACACAGTGGTCAGAGGGATTTTGAGCCATTCCTCTTGCAGAACAGTGGCCAGGTCACTTCATGATGCTGGTGGAGGAAAACAATTCCTGATTCGCTCCTCCAAAAACACCCTAAATTGGCTCAATAATATTTTGCAGGCCATGGGAGATGTTCACCTTCACTATCAAGTTCATCAAACCACTCTGTCACCAGTCTTGCTGTGTGTATTGGTGCATTATCATCCTGATACACGGCACCACCTTCAGGGTGCAATGTTGGAACCACTGGGTGAACATGGTCCTCCAGAATGGTTTGGTAGTCCATAGCAGTGACATGGCCATCTAGAACGGATAGTGGGCCTATGGAATGCCATGATATTGCCGTCCAAAGCATCACCGATCCACCCCTGTGCTGCACTCTGAGTACACAGCAGTCCGGGTGCTAAGCCTCTTTTGGGACGTCTCCACACCATGACTCTCCCAGATGTGGGAAAGGCAGTGAAGGTGGACTCATCAGAGAACAATATGTTTCACATTGTCCACAGTCAAACATTGCTCTGCTGGCACCATAGAACTGACGTTTGGCACTGGCACGAGTGACCAAAAGTTTGGCTATAGCAGCCCAACTATGAATACTGACCCTGTGGAGCTCCTGACAAACAGTTTTGGTGGAAACAGGAGAGTCAAGGAGCGGATTTAATTCTGCAGTGAGTTGGGCAGCTGTGGTTTTATGTGTTTTGGATACAATCCAGGTTAGTGCCCCGACATCCCTTTCAGACAGATTCCTCTTGCCACACAGTTACTCCTGTTGGATGTGGTCGGTCCTTCGTGGTGGTATGTCGACATTACCCTGGGTACCGTGACTCTCGATTCACCACAAAGACTTACTGTCCTGGTTGCAGATGCACCAGTGAGACATGCATCCACAATTTGTCCTCTTTTGAACTCTGATATGTCTCCTATTATGTAGTGTGGAAAATATGCAATATCTGTGTAAAGCTGTGTCATTACATTTCCATTTAAGGGCCTTTTTGATCGCCCCATGACATTCATTCAAGAAAAGCCACATGCTTTTAAAGAGTAAGAACGCCAGTTATATTCTTAACTCCCCTTAGTGTGACTGGGAACTAGGACTATAGCATGTTTATCAGCAATGATAAGCTACCCAAGGAGGCCATGAAGTAGCCTATACTTTTACAGCTGATAGTGTTCCTGACTTTGTGGTGTTCCTTATTCCCTATACTGCTCACCTGGCTTTGACTGTATACATTTCCCTTTTGACCAACTTCATTTAATAATTATTTTCTTTGTAAGACTGCAATCTGTAAAGGATTCATGTCCTTCTCTTTGTGAAAGTTTTGAAGAATGTTTGTCATGTTAATACATTCTAATTGGGTCTCTTTTTAATTAGATCTAATTTTTTTTTATCTATTGAGTGAATGATTTATGAAAACAGTCAGTTTAACAGCCTTACCTGGCAGACCCAAAT